ACCCAAAATCTCCACCAAAAAAGGAAGAAGAAGGACAGCAGCATCGCACCCCCACTCCTTCTGGCCGGCGAAATGGAGCCCGACGGTGGGAAAAGATAGGAGAGAAAGAGGGGAGGGGAGAGAGAGAGAGAGAGATGGAATGGGAGAACGTGTTTTGGTGTTTTTAATTTTGGAAAACAATTTTTCAAAATGACAAAAAGAACGCATTTTCAACAATCTCAAAATGGACACTCAAAACACAAAACTCAAAATGAATTCAAACCAGAAAACAGAAACACGAAGAGAACACCACCTTAGTGTTTCAACCACAGACATAACTCAAACCATCCGTCCAATCTGACCCCTTTCCTTATCCGTCACGTTTGGCAATTCCTTTTCCTTTGCTGAAAGTCATGTGCAATAATATGTCGACGCCTCGTTTATCGCTAATTCTAGCTAGCCCGTCAAACAGTCTTGGCAACTCTTCGTCTTCCTTGTTGGGTGCCTGATTCACGGCATGTTTAACGGACTCCAAAATTTCTTCATCTCATTCTAGCCGATGACTTCAAATGAAACAATGTGAATCGATATTAATTGACAAACTCGTAAAAAAGACAGACTCCTCAGAACTTGTATTTTGGACGTCTCCAAAGATTTGCCTTTAAATTGTGTTAAAAAGAACTACAGGGGAGTGGATAACAGTGACTGACTTGCGTTCCAGACTTTCTATGAATCAAGTCTCTGATTTGTTCTACAGCATATACACTATACAGAGCATGCTCCCAGTTCAGCGTGCGCCGGCAGGCGGTGATGGCAAGTATTGTGGCCGATTTTGCACGGGGGACCTTACGGCAAGAAGAAGAGTCGTGGTGTAAATTTGGGGGAAATGGGGAATATCATTGGGGTTTAGCGGGTACCATTTTGTTACTTTTTAAAACTTCCTTTTAATTTTATTTTAATGCAATTTGCCACGTCAGATTAATTCAAATTCCTGTAAGGATTCCGTGGGTATTTCCTGTACCCATATCAAAATCCTTTTATCTTCCAATTAATTCAACCCTATGTTCTCTGTCAAAGTTTTCTGTCAAGACATACAACCGGATAATCAACGGACTAAAGTCGATAAGGAATATTCTAGATGTACACACAATACTTTACCAAATGGATTACATCCTCCTCACATGAAGGGGGCCCACGAATATTTTATTGTGTGGGCTCCCCTCCATGTGAGGGGGGGTGTAATCCATTTGGTAAAGCATTGTGTACATTTAGACTAATTCAATCCATAAACGTTCAAGAGGGGGGGGGAGAGAGGGAAGGGTGACACGTGGCAGTCACATTCCTAGGAACCTTGCCGCAATAGCTGAATCGGCAATGGCGGTCTGTAGAGTAAAAATTAAATGCGCGTTTAACCCTAACTGGTTGGTAGCGAATCCCACCACCCTCATTCACCAACTATTGCTACCTCGCTGTTCACATTTTTCAAGATCAGCATTCATACATGCATAATAATGCATACACTTCATATTTAGAGAGTGAACTTTTGTAGAGAGAGAGAGAAATATTAGATTCTTCTTCACTGGCAGGTCAGGTTTTATACATCAGTAAGTTCTTATCTGTATTCGTGATTTTCCTTTTTGAATTTTGTCTCTTTTTGGAATTTTTCAAGGGATGGTTTTTAGTGATATTTCCGACTTTTATAGTATTTTTTTTTATTTTTTATTTACAAGTTGAGAAAACTATGCACGTGGGACTCTAGTTTTTAGAATTTCTTGTCCATTTTATCTGTTGCTAGGGTTGTAAATGTTGTATGTATATGTGTGAGTACACAAACAAACCGCCCCACTCACATATACAAGGGTAAATTTAACTTTGTATATATGCATTATAGAATTTCTTGTTATATTTCTCATTGGTCCTGTGACGAGATACAGGCCACCTGATCGGAAAGTAGCAGGTCTCTTTAGGTTGGATGAAGTTTAGATATTTAAATTGTTTAAATTCTGCGAATTTTCTTGTACAATGATACCATGTCCATAAGAAACGGGCGAGTGTCCATGTCAAAATTGACGATATAGATGGTAAAAGCTCTTTCCTTTCATCAAGCTTACTGCAACGGACCATCTGTGGTCTTTGAAGTGTCTTTGACTCGCACCTTTGAGTGGAAGACAGGAGGCACAGAACCAAAGAGCTAGTATACAATACAGCATCAGCTTCTAGTTTGTAGAGGACATGCAATGTAAAACAAATAAATAAAAACTATTTAAAACCTTTGACGAGTGCGATTTCCAATTAGACGGTCAACAGATTTCTACTTGGAAACCAAAACAAAATCTTTTAATATTTGTTATTCTAATATTTTATTGAACAACCTTTGGTGTTATCTTGAATTAGAGTAATTTTTACTCCTTTTCCTACTACTTTAAGTATTCATAATATTGCATGTTCGTACACATTTATCTTTATCTTTCAAACGTGGGGATCCACAGACTGGTTTTTCATGGGTTATGCACTTAAGGATACGATCCTATGTTTAGGGTGGATTTATTTCTGATTCTATTTTGATATAACTTTTTGCCAGTTTTAGCTCAAGAGTACTGGTTGCAAGACTGTTTAAGAAATTAACACGGTGAGTAAATTTTATATGATCCAAGATATGATTTTTGCAGTGTGGGGATGCTGGGTTTTTGGGGTTCATTTTTTACACAGAACGAGGAAGAGAGTTCCAATAACCAAGTGGGGTTAAAGGGTACGGTGGGGGTGGGGGGATTGGATTCATCCAGTTGGAAGTGTAGGTTTGTCTTAGTACAATGACTGAATTTGGACCACGGCCTTTCGACTTTCTGTATATAAACACACACTCGTGCCTCTTTATTATTTCAACCTTGCTACAGTGACAGACTCAATGATATACTTAACAATAGAAAATATAGTGTCAATATATGATTGAACAATTTGAAAAATAAAGAACACAACACCCAATCCCACCCTGCCACAACACCTTGTCATCTCACCTCATATCATTGACCATGGCGAAGTAACATCATTCTTATTATTTTATGCAGTAAATTTATAATATTATGGCCTGTTGGAATTTGGTGATCAGAGATTCAGAAGTGTTTGGTAGGGATGGACTTTTGAGAGATTTAGATATAATTAATTTCTTCAATTTTTTCTCTTTTCCAGCTCTCTTTTTCTCTCCATTTTTGTCCATTTCATTCTTCTGCTAGCTCATAAATATTTTGGGTGAGAGAGAGAGAGAGAGAGCAGTATATAGCAGACTTCTTCATTAGGGTAAATCTATGTCAGTTTCATTACCAAGAATTCCAAAATGAAGCCTTATATTTTATGTTTCCAAATAATATGTTGTATATCATTGTAGTAATCTTCTGTGTTTTTTGTCATCTGTAGGAATTGACTATAAGTAAAATTCTTCCCAAAAGTATTAGGGCAAATGGGCTCCATGAATTCAAATAATTGGCTCTCTTTTCCTCTTTCTCCCTCTCATTCTTCCATTCCAGCCCACCTACAAGCTGCTCAATCTCATCAGTTTTCGTTAGGGTTAGTGAACGAAAATATTCATACTCCATTTCCAGCCCAAGGTAAGCACATTGAATCTTTCATTTTTCTACTGAAAAGTTCAGATTTTGCTTGTGAGCTTTATATTATGAGCCTGTCTGATTATGAGACTTACTGGTCGACGCCTGCAGAATGGAATTTGATGAACAATCAAGGACATGATGAAGTTCCAAAGGTTGCTGATTTTCTCGGCATCAGCAAATCTGGAAACCAGTCAGAACTCGTATCTTATAACGATATCCAGTTGAATGCCACGGAGTACTTATTCTCAAACAGTCTCGTACCAGTGCAACATACCACAAACTATGATCTTCAAGATAATCCTCATAACATGCAATCTTTGACACTTTCTATGGGTAGTGGTAAGGGGTCAACAAGTGAAACTAGTGCCATTGTACCTGCACCTACCGCTGATAACAGTAATACTAGCGTTGTTGAAGCTACCCCTCGGAGGACTCTGGACACTTTTGGACAAAGAACTTCGATTTATCGAGGTGTAACAAGGTAGGAAACTACATTCGAAATATAACTTATTCTCTATTATTTTCATAAGTTTGGATTTAGCTACACAATTCTTTTCTGTGACTCGAATCGTTTATGCTATTTTAGATTTTAGATTAAATTCTTAAATATATTTTTGGTTTGTAATTGTAGGCATAGGTGGACAGGAAGGTATGAAGCCCATTTGTGGGACAATAGTTGTAGAAGGGAAGGTCAATCAAGGAAAGGTCGTCAAGGTATAATAAAGCTTTAGCTACACAAATCTTTTACTCATAATTAATTACTTCAATTGGTTGCTAATTATTTTTGCGTTTTTTTCTAATTTATGGTGGTCTGGCACTGTTCATCGTCTGCAGTGTATTTGGGTGAGTTAATAATTTTCGTTAAGTTATACTTGGAAGAAATAAAATTTATAGGGTTTAGTTTAAATAATGTTTTTTCTTCTCTTTTACCTTCAACAGGAGGGTATGATAAAGAAGAGAAAGCGGCAAGGGCATATGATCTAGCTGCACTAAAATACTGGGGAACATCTACCACTACAAACTTTCCAGTAAGCTTATTCCTCTAAAAAAATTCGGGATTGAGTATCAGAATATTTTTGCGCACTCCATTCTTTTACCAGTTATAATTGAGCTTATACTCAACTGTTGTCAAATACAGAATTCTTGAAACTTTTAAGGATAAAAACTAGCATAGATTTATGTTAATTTGCTGTTCTACTAAGAATATTATTCATTGTATATAATTGCAGATGAGCAACTATGAGAAAGAAGTTGAGGAGATGAAACATATGACTAGACAAGAATTTGTAGCCTCTATCCGCAGGTAAGAACACGCATTATTTGTATAAATTACTTATTGGCCTAAAAATAATTGCTTTTAAACAAGTTAAGGATAAAATGATAACAGTAAGATTTTGTCACAGACTGATCCTTTTTCAATCTTTCTACTGACTGTTTCTTACAGCTGTTAGTTTTGCATCTTATTGAAAATGGCAATTTATTATTTTATAATTATCTGTCAGTTTTTGCTCTTCAGTCTTAATTACTCACCATTCTGTTGTTAAGTACAGGAAAAGTAGTGGATTTTCCAGGGGAGCATCAATGTATCGTGGGGTAACAAGGTATTAAAAATCACTTATTTTCACACCTATTTATTTCTTTGGATACTCTTTTGCTTCCTCCTCCTGCTCATTACTTCTTTCTGATACCACTCTCTATATTTTTGTATTTGTATTTGTCTCTCTCTCACAGGCATCATCAGCATGGAAGATGGCAAGCAAGAATTGGAAGGGTTGCTGGAAACAAAGATCTTTACTTGGGAACTTTCAGTAAGCAATTTGATTGTCATATTAGTACTACATATTTCACTACAATAATAATAAGATTACGAGGCAACCTTATATTTCACACTAAAAATTCAACTGCATAAAATTCCTCCACGTATGAGGAATATTAAGCGGATCTGGAATCGAGCAGATAAGTGAAATATGTTTAGGATCCAAAATCCATGCAACGTCAATCCATGCATGTTGCAATAAAATCATGAGCACCTTAAGAAATTGCGTGTTTTTGCAGGTACTGAGGAGGAAGCTGCAGAAGCATATGACATTGCTGCAATAAAGTTCAGAGGCCTTAACGCAGTTACAAACTTTGATATGAACCGTTATGATGTGAAGACCATTCTTGAAAGCAACACTCTTCCAATTGGAGGGGGGGCCGCGAAACGTCTAAAGGAAGCTCAAGCAATCGAATCTTCAAGAAAACGGGAAGAAATGATGACTTTAGGCTCAAACATTCAGTATGGAAGCTCAAGCTCAGGCCCTCTGCACACTAATTTCCCACTAATTCAGCAACCATTTGACAATTCACAGCCTTTGCTAACTTTACAAAACCAGGATTTGTCCCCATACAATCAAGAATCCCACTACCAAAGCTACATCCAAACACAACTCCAGTTGCACCAGCAAACAACTTCTTACAATATGCACCAGAATAATCACTTATACAACAATTATTTTCAAAATAATCCGGTTTTACTCCACGGGTTGATGAACATGGGAACAACGTCTTCGATTATAGACAACAATGGGAGATCAAGTACTGGAAGTTACAGTGGAGGATACATTATAAATGGGATTGAAATGGGTTCAAATAACTCCATTTCTGCAGGAGGAGGTTCAGCTGAAGAACTTGCAATGGTTAAAGTTGATTATGATATGCCTTCTGCTACTACTTACACTGGATGGTCAGGAGATTCTGCGGATCAAGATTCAAATCCGTCTGTTTTTACAATGTGGAATGATTGAGAATTTTTGTGGAGATTAAGATTTCTAACTGTTTGTGATCAAAGGTATGCTAGGAACAACTAATTACTTGTTACATGTTTAATTTTCTTGGTGGACGCACGAAGAAAATCACTGCCCTATCTAACGAAACTTATTCTTGTTTGAATCATGTTACAGTGCTAGATGCCTTTGACATAATGTTAAATGACATTTTCTCATTGGACTGTTTTAAACACGGTCAATTTTTCCATCAAAATCATCTGTTTCACCTTGGATTATGTCTTTGCATCTGTTAAATTTCTTTTGATACAGCGACAATTTTTTTTGTTTTGGTTTTAGCTTAATTTTCGAAGAAAACTATGTCACTTGTGATATGTTAAGGGTAATCTTGCATCGAATAAAAATATAAATATAAATCAATATATAAGTGATTAGACTACTTCTTTTAATAAGTTTAACATTTTAGGATGGAGCACTGAGTCTTAATATAATATCAGGGTCTATTAAGATCCAATGAGCTATTTGATCCGATGAAAACTAAAAAAAAAATGAGTAAACGGATTTTAAGATTGATTTGTTCAAACGAGCCACCATCTTGTAGAAACATGCTAATGATAAATCTCACATCGAACAAAAATAAAAATATAGACCAATATATAAGGGTTTGAGCTACCTCTCTTAATAATGTTGACTTTTTAAGATGAATTTTCAATTCTTAATATAATGTTGTAAGAATGTTTAGTTAACTCAAAAGTAATTATTATTATTATTATTACAGATCTAGTATTTTACAAATCTTTAAAAAAAAAGAACAAATTGAAGAAGCTCCAAAAATATTTGTGTTTAAACTGCATCAAAATATCACAAATTAAGGCTCAAAATAATTGTACCATTTTGTTTCACTCACAAAAGAATTAACACCAGATCCAAAAACTAATTAAAGTTGTTTCAATCAATGTTCTAAAAAGCACTTCTAGATGCGGACACGAGCTAAATGCCACGCTTTTGTAGTGAGTGCGAAATTAAGCTATCGACTGTCAAGTTGATCACTTAATACGCATACGCGTGCCGAATTGTGCTTTCTTAATTTTTCCCATTTTTATAATTATTTTTTTTCCTAGTCAAGTAAGGAGGATAATCTTGTATTGAACGACATGAAAGACGAATTAGATGAAAAAGAGGATACTGAATTGGAGTTCGATAAAAAATTAGATAAAATTTAAGTTATGCAGCTATCTACATTATGTAATTATAATTTTGAGACTTATTATTTTGTTGAAAACTTTGAAAGTATGTGGCTATTTCCTTGTCCATGGAACACGCAAAGCATTGAAAGAAGAACCCAACGGGAGGGAGTGACCCAGAAGAGGCATTCCTTCTTCTCGTTGCTGCGCTTGCCGGCTCCAATCCCTGCCGCTAGGGCCCAGGATCTGTTCTGCCTAATGTTCTATTAGCAATTGTATCACTCTAAACTAATTTTATAAAGAAGTGGCTATTTCCTTGTCCGTGGAACACGCAAAGCACTGAAAGAAGATCACATCGGGAGGGAGTGACCCAGAAGAGGCATTATAAAGTTCCTGTAAATCTATTAAACATGACTTGTCTAGTTGAAAATTGAAATTATGAAAAATAATTTAACTTTTGCATTTCAGAAATTTGAAACTACTAATTGTAAGAACTATTAAGTTTTAGATGTTTGTGATATATTATTTTCATTATTAAATAATTTTTAAAATAAATAAATTAAAAATAAGAAAATTATGCTTAGGCAAGTCATAAAGCTTGAAATTTGGCATTCATACTTAGTCACGCTTTACGTTTTTTAGAATACAGATTTAAATGAACCAAAAACAAATCATGACCACAGATTAATAATGTCACTCAAACAACACTCAAAAAAAGATGTTTATCTCATAAGTAAAAATAAGAAATCTCGTAACCAAAAGGAAATTGGAGAACCAGAGATGAAGAAGAAAAGAAAAGTGTGGAGAAATGTGTATCGAATGAATGAAGATTAGGTCAACCAAGACGTCTGTATACCAGCATTTTAAAAAGCAACACCTAGGTGCAAAGTGGGAGCAAAATGCCTCGCCTCGCACTTTTTTTATATTTTTTTTGCTTTTTGTTTTTGTTTTTCTTCTTTTTTCAATATAGTATTTTATAATTTTATATACTTGGTAGGTATTATTTTAATTATCAAATAATTTTATATTGATTAAAAATTTAAAATAATATTAAAATAAGAAAATATTTTTTACGACTAGGCCTCGTCTAGCCCAATACTTAGCCTCCACATCTTGTCACGCTTTACACTTTTTAAAACACTGCTATTTAGACTCGTGCTGCCAACCAAGACAACTGACGATTAAGCCACCGTTGGAAAACAACCTAACAATAAAGTCACATTACACCAAACAACATCTTCATCACCGTGAATTTATAGGCAATTGCATTTCATCATTGTCCAATTGTTTGGCATCACATCCCAACAGATCTCTAAATCAATGTCAATGATCTCAACATAAACTGTCAGTTCAAAACTCTTAAACCATATTTTCATCAAGTATTCACTTGTAAAAGAAAATACCCCATATCAACGTTTAGAATATTTAAACAAAATGTAAACTTGTTCAGAGACAATACATTTGTCCCATGTCTGATACATTATATTAGGAATGGATTTTTGAAAGAGTTAATGATTTTTTATTAATAATATTTCTAATAAAATACATTTTAAGTGCTCAGTTCTTCCATAAAAAAAGGATTCTTACATAAATGAACAAAACTTTGATTATCTATGTATTCAACTACATGATTAAAAGTTTATTAATTTCAAAACTTTTAACAATACTTTCTTTATATTTTCACTAGCAGCAACATATCCAGTTTCATTAGTAGATTATGAATTTTCAACTCACACGTGTCCCACGAAGTAAATATATCAACAGTACGTAGTTGACTTTCTATTATCACTATCTCCTACAAATCTGCATATAACCAATATTATCCATGAACCTGCTTAGTGTACTTTTAGTATGAGCTAAATCTAATCTAATACACACCATAGTTTACATTATAAAGCCCACAACAGTAGCTTAGGGGACTATCTTCGTGTATCAAACATCTAATTCATTTATAGGACGTTGTTCCTCACATAAATTGAAATGATTAGCTAGAGGTAAAGTAACAGATTTTGAATCGCAGAGAAAATTTTGATATCGCATTCTCAATAAATGTAGTATTTTTCAAAATCAATACACGCTTTGAGCTATTTCTTATAATGTGTCCATTCCTAAAATCCTTCTATCATACCTTACTTCATTCATTTCAAATTCAATGCCAAGTGATTTCTTTATTTGGTTTATACCATGCATGATAAGTCCAATTGATATCATGTCATGTACATATAGCAGGAATAAACAATCACACAATCTTTTCCATCTTTCTTATATAAGCACTAATAGCACTTCTATTAAGACCAGCAGCAGAAGCAAATGTATCAAATCAGTTGTACCTGTCTATTCTAGGTGATTCTTTAAAATCATATAAAGATTTTTTCACACATAATCAAATTTAGCTTTATTTATGAAACCATGTGATTGTGTCATATAAATTTTTCCATCTAAAACCCTATGCAAAAAGGTAGTTTTTACATTCATTTGTTCAAGTTCTAGTCATGATTAGCAACTAAAACTAACATAAATCTTATTGTAGTATATTTCACAACAAATGAGAAGACTTCATTATAATCAATGCTTTGTTTCTAAGTGAAATTGATGTAGGATGCGGCAGCGTATAGAAATAATAAGTGAACACAGTATCTAAGTTCTGTTGATTCCAAATAAATACCACAATATGATCACCTATTAGTTTATGTTAATTATTAAGAATACCTAAACATAAAAAAATCCTTTGATTCGCACTCAAATACAAAAAAATTAGACTCATTGATTTAAAATATCAAATATTGAGAATTTAAGAGATTGAGAAACTCCAATATTTATTTTATTTCAATTCAAAATCACTAATTGCTATTAAAGCTTACAACCTTTATTTAAAGCAATAACTACAATTTAGATAAAGACCAAATTTAGATACAAACTGAAATTAATGATGAAGACTCAATCTTTATCTAGACTAAATTTAGATAAAGATTAAAATTAAAGATAATGAATAAAATTAATGATGAATGCTCAATCTTCATCAAAAACCTTTAACAATTAATCTAGCTTTAAACCTTGGCGGTTCTTTATCGAAATTCCCTTCTTTAACAGTATAAATTCATTTACAATCTATTAAGAATTTATCTTTCGGCTCTAGAACAACGTTCCAAGTTTTATTTTTAATTAGGGATTCCATTTCTTCCACCATGAAAGAATGTCATCTCTTAGACTGTTCACTATTTACAGCTTCAGTGCAAGTTTTTGGTTCTTTAAAAGTGAGATCTTGGTAGGATACGACATCATGTGAGAGATAATCACTATACATAGAGGGGGTTTTCCGAATATCTCTTCCAACTGTAACTATAGTTTAGTTGGTAATTGTCGCAGAAGCTTGCTTCAAGATTTTCGAAACGATGATTTTTGGGCTCAATTTTACATTATTTTTTCTACCAAACAATCAATACAAACAGTTCCAACCCACAAATAATATATTTACCTTGGTTGCTTCTCACTCATAAAGGACGAGATAACAGTGTTGATTTGCAAGCTACAAAGGCACGAGAAAATTAATGAATAAGGCACAAAAAGGAGACCAAAACGAATGAGGAAGTCATCGGTTTTCACTCTCAATTGCACACGTTTTTCTCCAACAGTGGGCACGTTTTTTTTCTCCTTAAACACAAATCACACACTTAAAAGTGTAAAGGAGGCTATATATAGTCTAACATTAGGTTATCAATTTGGACCAAATAAAGGATAAATGGGCAGAGACTAAAAGCCATCCAATAGGTAAATACATAAGCCGTGATCAACATTAATTCCTTAAACTACTTCCAACTGTCCAAGATATTTTAGGGT